AAAATTTTCTCTTATTAACTCTTTGATATGCTTTGTATCCCTTTGGCCTTCTCAGGTCCCTCTTGAATCCCAGTTACTTGGATATTTGTTCATTTCATGCTATTTCCAATTTTCTGTGAGGATCCTCCATTTCTCTTCATTTTTTCTTTTTTTCTCTTCCAGCTATATATTTTCAGATAGCCAGTCTTTGAGTTCACTGAGTCTTTCTTCTGTTTAATTTAGTCTGCTATTGATACCTTCAATCATGTTTTTAATTTTGCTTAATGTATTGTTTTGCTCATGGACTTATGTTTGATTTTTTTTTAGTATATGTGTTACCAAAGTGAGCATTGTTTGTTTGTTTGTTTTTGCAATTGCTTCTATCTTCCTATTAAGTTTCTCTATTAAAATATTTAATTGTGTTTTCCTAAAGCTCTTGGGTTTCCTTAAAACAGCAATTTTGAGTTCTTCATTTGAAATTTTTTGCCTGTTTCTGGTACTTTATTTTGTTTATTCGGTGAAGTCATGGTTTTCTGAAGGTTCTTTATGCTTGTTGGTATATAATGTCACCCGTGTATTGTAGGATTAGATATGTTTTTCTGTTCTTTGTGATCTTTGTTTCCTGTCCTTGCAAAAAATTTAAGCAGCCTGTTTATTTACTTTGAGTCTGTGGACCCTTCCACTATTTTAATATTCTATGATGCTCTAATTTGAGGTTTCTTTGTGTCTTTGATGTATTTTTACTATTTCAGCACTAGTGGTGACTCATCCCAGATTTATCCCAAATCATCAGTTACTGTGCTGTTCAGAATAAAAGACTTCATCTATTCCTGTAAGCTGGTTCCTGTGCCTTGTGTATATCCAGATTTGTGCGTAGTTTCTGATCTGTGGGATTCTACTTTACTCTGGACCTCACCATTAGGGGCACCAACTCCAGTTTAATACGGAATGTCAACACCCACCTCTCATTTCTTCCTCCAAGTGAACAGTTACTGTTTTTGTATTCTGCTTTATGGGTTGGGGGAGGAATGAAGTGGGAAGTCCCATGACTCAGAAAGCTGGATCACACCTGGAGCTTACATCTACGCAGCCTAGTAGTAGAAGCAGAACTGAGACTCAGGCTGCTATAGACTTACTGATGCTAAGGTGGAATCATGGCCCAAAACTGCCAGAAACAGCAATAAGCAATGCTGGCTTGCAAATAAGTTCAATTGACTTGGGCCATGGATTTGCACTGAAGTGGCATCTGCCCAGTGTTGACTTTTACCTGCCCAGAACAGAGTCCCAAGATACTGTCCTGTGCTCACTTTCAGACCCTACTCCCCACTGCTTAAGTTGTACTCCTTGCTGTCTGCCTGAGGTAGGAAGGGGAATAGTGGAGGCAGTTCCTTGGGTCCCACGTTAGTCTTGCTTTCTTGGGGCCTTTCATAGTCTTGTAGGTGCTCACCAGGCCTACATAAGACTAGTAGTGATGCTAGCTGACATATAAATCCATCCTACTGTGGTGCAGCTCTCTGCCTCATGGCAGGTATAGAGGCTCCGTGTGTGAATTCTGCCCTTGTGATAGAGGCCTGGTGCTAGGCCTCACAGTAGAGAGACTGGCACTAAGTTCCAACACAATTTCCCGAACTCATTTTCCCACCCTACGATCCTGTGGTTCGAGTTGTACTTCCTCTCTGCCCAAGGTTGGGGAAGGGGTATTGGAGGGAGTCCCCTGTCTGCTTTGGCTGATATTAAGATGGGTCATATCAGGGTCTAATTATCACCAGATTGTACACAGTCTCGGGTGTGTGCTAGGCCTGTGTATGTAGCTGCTGGTGTTAAAAACTGAGATGACTCCATCTCACCAAGGCATAGCTCTGCCTGATGCTGGGGTAGATCTAGAGGGTCTATCTGTGAGTACTGGCCTGGGGTTAGAAGCCTTTGGGTTCTGTCACTGGATCTCACTGCAGCAGGCCCAACACTGAGCTCCAAGTCAGAGTCCTGTGCTCACTTCCTTGCCCTGCTCCCTGCTATTGGAGTCTTGCTCCACTGTCTGCCAGAGGTTGAATAGGTGTGGTAGAGTTCATCCCTTGGCTAAGAGAGATCCAAAAGTTGTAGTGCAAATACTGGTCTGAGAGGGGACTGTGGGGCCCTGTCTTTCACTAGGTTTTACTGTGGTAGACCTAGCACTGAGTTTCAAATCTAAGGTCAAAGTGATACAGGCACCATTTTCCTTCCTGCCTTCTTCAACGTGATTCTTCTTCGCTTTACACTAAAACCAGACACTGTGGTCTCTGCCCTGGTTTCCATAGCTCTTGTGAAAGTAGTTGGGGAGATGGTCACTGGAACATCTAACCCAGATGCCATGTTGTCTTTAAGTCTGAAAGGTACAATTTACTTTTTTTTTTTTTTTTTTTTGACAGGCAGAGTGGACAGTGAGAGAGAGACAGAGAGAAAGGTCTTCCTTTGCCGTTGGTTTACCCTCCAATGGCCGCCGCTGCTGATCCGATGGCAGGAGCCAGGAGCCAGGTGCTTTTCCTGGTCTCCCATGGGGTGCAGGGCCCAAGCACCTGGGCCATCCTCCACTGCACTCCCTGGCCACAGCAGAGGGCTGGCCTGGAAGAGGGGCAACCGGGACAGAATCCGGCGCCCCGACCGGGACTAGAACCCGGTGTGCCGGCGCCGCTAGGCGGAGGATTAGCCTAGTGAGCCACGGCGCCGGCCCGGTACAATTTACTTTTAAAAATTATTTAGTGGGGCTGACGCTGTGGCGTAGTGGGTGAAGCTGCCATCTGCAGTGCCAGCATCCCATATGGGTACTGGTTCGAGTCTAGCTGCTCCACTTCCCATCCAGCTCTCTGCTATGGCCTGGGATAGCAGTAGAAGAGGGGCCCAAGACCCAAGGGCATCCACGTGGGAGACCTGGAAGAAGTACCTGGCTCCTGGCTTCGGATTGGCACAGCTCTGGACATTGTGGCCAACTGGGGAGTGAACCAGTAGATGGAAGACCTCTCTCTCTCTCTCTCTCTCTCTGCCTTTCCTTCTCTCTCTGTGTAACTCTTTTTTTTTTTGACAGGCAGAGTGGACAGTGAGAGAGACAGAGAGAAAGGTCTTTCTTTACCGTTGGTTCAACCTCCAATGGCTGCCGCAGCCAGGACGCTGCGGCTGGCACACCACGCTGATCCGAAGCCAGGAGCCAGGTGCTTCTCCTGGTCTCCCATGCGAGTGCAGGGCCCAAGCACTTGGGCCATCCTCCACTGCACTCCCTGGCCACAGCAGAGAGCTGGCCTGGAAGAGGGGCAACCGGGACAGAATCCGGCACCCTGACCGGGACTAGAACCCGGTGTGCTGGCGCCCCAAGCGGAGAATTAGCCTATTGAGCCACAGCGCCGGCCTCTGACTTTCAAATAAATAAATAAATCTTTAAAAAATTATTTAACATTTGGTATTTTAACTTGTCTTAAAAAGATTTTATTTATTTATTTAAAAGGCAGAGCTATGGACAGACAGTGACAGAAGGAAAGTCAGATCTTCTGCTAGTTCACTCCCCAAATGGCTGCAACAGTTAGGGTGGTATTTTAACTTTTTTAAAAGATTTTATTTATTTATTTGAGAGGTAGTGTTACAGAGAGAGGGGAAGGGGCGGGGGGGGGGGGGACTTCCATCCGCTGGTGCACTCCCCCAAATAGCCCCAATAACTGGAGCTGAGCCAATCTGAAGCCAGGAACCAGGAGCTTCTTCCGGGTCTCCCACGTGGGTACAGGGGCCCAAGTGTTTGGGCCATCCTCCACTGTTTTCCCAGGCCATAAGCAGAGAGCTGGATTGATGGAAGAGGAGCAGACAGGACATGAACCAGTGCCCACATGGAGTGCCGGCGCCACAGGCAGAGGCTTAGACTACTATGCCACAGCGCCAGCCCTGACATTTTAACTTTTAAAAAATGTTTGTTTATTGTCATCTACTTAGAGTCACTTACTTGTGCACACAGATACATATACACACATACACAGGCAAACACATGCACACACACAGATCGTGAGTGAGCAATCATGAGCGCTATTGATCTTGCCACTTGCTGGTTCATTCTCCAAATGCCTGTAACATCCAGGCTGGGCCAAGATGAAGCCAGTAGCCTGGAACTCCATCCAGGTCTCCCACTTGGGTGGCAGGGACCCAAGCATTTGAGTCATCATGTACTTCCTCCCAGGATGCATTAGCAGGAAGCTGGATCAGAGGCAGAGCAGGTGGGACTTGAACCAGCACTCTAATGTGAGATGCTAGTGTCTGGAATGGTAGAAAAACTTGCTGTGCTACAGCATCCACCCCTTTAATTTCTTTTATTTTTTACAAGATAACAGGTTCATGAAAATTGTACACATTTATCAGGTACTACATGATGTTTCATTACATTGTGTAATGTCCAATCAGAGTAAATTTATTTATCTTTTCAATATTCAACATTCAACATTTCCATATCTTCCAGGTTTTTTAAAATAGAGAAATATATAGTACATAACATTAACATTATCTTTAGTACCCTGTCCCTCCATCCCCACTTCTCTCTCCAGCCACTGGTAACCACAATATTTTTTAAACTTCTATGAAATCACCTATCTTTTTTAAACATTTTATTTATTTACTTGGGAGGCAGAGTTACAGACAGACAGAGGCAGAGAGAGAGAGAGAGAGAGAAGTCTTCCATCCACTGATTCACTCCCCAAATGGCCACAATGGCTGGAGCTGGGCCCATCTGAAACTAGGAGCCAGGAGCTTCCTCTGGGTCTTCTATGGGTGCAGGGGCCCAAGCCCTGGGGCCATCTTCTACCACTTTCTCAAGCCATAAGCAGGAAGTTGAATAGGAAGAGGAGCAGTCAGGAGTTGAACTGATGCCCATATGGGATTCTGGTGCCACAGGTGAAAGCTTAGCCTGCTACACCACAGTGCCAGCCCTGAAATCACCTATTTTTTGGGCTCCACATATGAGTGGGATCCTGTATATTTGTGGTTTATTGACAGAGGACTTTTATCTTTATTTTCAGATGTTCGCACACAAGCCATGTACCAGATGATGGATCAAGGTTTTGTAGGACTTATTTTTTCCTGTTTCATAGAAGATAAAAATACAAAGGTACTGTCATGTATGTTATGTTATCCATGCATTTATACAGAGTAGAGAAAAATATCTGCAATTTTATTATGGTGGCCAGGAAAAGGTTCAGTGAGAAAGGTCACTGAGTCAGGACCTGAAGGTGAAAAAGGAGGAACATTCCAGGCAGAGGAAACAGCCAGTGCAAAGACCCTAAAGTGAGTATAGTACATTGAAGAAGTTGGTGTGGTTATAACAGAGTGAGGAAGACCATCACCATACATCCCAGTTTGTCTCTGTCAGTCCCAGGTTTATGCTATTTAGTTAGCCCCTTTCCTTCTCAGAAATGGATTCGTTTGGACAAGAACTCATTCTGTCATCTTAAATGAGGTCCAAAAGATAATGTGGGGGGATGGTAACAGCTCCTTTAAGACCTTAGCTTTGACTCTGAGTTCAGAAGTCACTGGAGGTGACTTTGTTTTTAATAGGATCTCTCTAGGTACTATTTTGATAATAGACTGGGAGAGGGAAGCTAGAATCCATGGCTTCAGTGAAACCAACTGGGAACATATTACAGTAATCCAGACAAGAAATGATGGAGATTTGAGCACAAGGCTAGGATGGAGATGGTGATAAGTCATCAGATTCTGTATATATATTGCTATCTAATAGTAACAAATGCTACCATTTATTATCTATTGTGTGACAGGCACTTTTTAGGTGATTTACGTAAATATGCTCTGACTCTGACAGTAAGCCTATGTGGAATCTTCTTACCCACATTTTACCGATAAAGTGAAGCTCAGAGAAGTTAAGTAGTTTGATTCATGGTTACTTTTGCCATTTTTTATTTGGATTCTGCTTGAATTAAATTCTACCTGAATTTTATATTCACATCAAGAGATTTTAATATGTGTCCAAACAAAAAGCAAATTACCGTTTCACATTATAGGTATCAATTCTTTCAAGAATTCCAAGGGTTTCTATCATTTAGAATATTAGTTATATTCTCAGAATCTGTGTTAATGATTATTTTGTATAATATCACTCTTTTCCAGAAACATTAAAGTTCAATACCTTGAACTTAGTTCATTCTAAATGCCTTCAGCTTTATCATCATGTATTTATGTACTTATTGTTATCATAAATAGTTGTTGGCAAGTTTGAATTTCCAACATTCTAGTTTGAATATTCTGATTTTTAGGTTCTTGGTTCCAAGATTTGTCAGGAATTCTTTGTTTCCCATAAGTAGATGTTGGCTGTGGCCATCTTAGGTTGATTGAGAATATGATCCTTCTTATGTAAATTGGTTTATGTATCTTTGGAACCTCTTAACCTTCCACTTCCAGAGGGGACTTTGGATTCTATATTAGAGTGTACTAAATTGCTGTACTTTTTTCAATATTAATCCTTCTTTGTGTGACATTTCTTTCTTTCCTTTTTTTGTTGTTGTTTTATGGATTTTTGTTTGTTTCTTTTCTAGACTGGCCGAGTACTCTACACTTGCTTCCAATCCATACAGGCTCAAAAGAGTTCTGAGTAAGTATGACAAATTAGAAATATATATATGTATTGATGGGCTAATTTCAAGTCTAGGGAATTGGTTATTCTTTTGTTTTATTTCTCTTGCTGGTAAGACACTAAAAACTCTATTTTTCTACTTATGCTCATTAGCAGCTTTATGAACAGTTAAAATCTTTTTAGCAGCTTTGATATTGGGTATATAGGCAGTTTCTTCACCGTAATTAAGTCACTAAAACTATTTCATTTTTCTGGTTAGTTGTAAATCAAAAGTTGTATAGAAGAGTATTACAAGTTTATATAGATTCATGTCTGTGAGGTTCATAGCAGTACTATTCAGAACAGTCAACTTATGAATGGATTAACAAAAATCTGTATCCATTCAGAGAAATATTATTCATTAAAAGGAAAGAACTGAAACATGCTACAACCTGAAAGAATTTTGAAAGTATACAAAGTGAAAGAAGTCAAATGCAAAAGGTCACATATTCTGTGTTTTATAGGAAATAGCCAGAATACCTAAATTCATAGAGGAAGAAAATACATTGGTAGTTGACCTGGTCTGGCAGGAGTGAAAAATGGCTATAGAGTTTATTTTGGGGTGATGAAAATGTTTTTGGCCAAATAGGAGAGGTTGTCACACAACATTGTGAATATATTAAATGCCTCTGAATTATTCACTTTAAAATGGCTAATTATATTTTATGTGAATTTCACCTCAATTTTTAAAAAATGAACAAAGGGCTTGAAGAGATATTTCTTCAAGGAAGGTATACAAATGGCCAAAAGTACATGAAAAGCTGCCCAACCATATTGGTCTTTAGGGAAAGGTGTATAAAAATCACAGTAAGATGCTGCCTCCCACACAATAGGCTGACTATAATTTTTTTAGGAAAAGGAAAATAACACAAGTTGGCAAAGATGTAGAGAAAATAGAATTTTCATCTGTACTGGTGGAAATTTAAAGTGGTTCAACCACTGTGGAAAAGTGAAACAGAATTGCTGTGTAACCATGCAACTTCACTTTTAGCCAAGACCGGTGTTAAAACAAACAAGAATTGTACATGAATGCTTAACGCAGGGTTTTTCATAAACTCTGGTTCAGTTTCTTCTGAGGTTTTTCTCTGCCTTGTAGATGGTCTGTTTCTTGCTGTGTCATCACATATTCATTCCTCCAGGTACATGCATCCTTGGTGTCCATTTGTATATCTACATTTCCCCTTCTTTTAAGAAGAGCAAGATTAGGACCCTCTCTCAGACTTATTTTAACTCAGTCATCCCTTTAAAGGCTCTGTCTCCAAATACAGTCACATTTTGAGGTACAGGGACTTAGGACAGAGGTAGAGAGTGTAAAACCTGCAGGTTATATAAGGCACATGAAATCATTTGGTCTGGCCCTGCCAAATGGGACTTGAGTTTTCCACCCCTGGGCTAGGACTTCAACATACATATTTGGAAAAGGTTATACTGTAGCCTATAACAAGAAGTTGCTGCTTACTGGGTACAGGGTTTCTTTTTTTGGGTGAAAATATTGTGGAATTAAGTTAGTGGTAATGGTTGTACACCATTGTGAATATGCTAAAGTCCCTGAGTTACATACTTTAGGTAAGGCCATAAATTTTGTTTTCTGAATATTATCTCAGTTAAAAGTGAACAAAACCAAAAAATAGCTGTAGATTAAAAGATACATCATTCATATCATCATAGTCCAGTCATAAAGTAGAAAGAAGTGTTCAGCAATTCAAGAAATAAAAGATAGATAGATATGAAATGAATAAATAAATCTGTCCCTTCTTGCATAAAACATAGCTGTCTATATAGAAAAATCTCAATAAATCTACAAAAAAGTTTCTAAAACTACTAAGTGAGATCACAGGATAGAATGTCAACACACAAAAAGCAGTACTATCTTTATTTCTAGAAACATGAAATTTAAGGCACTGGTGCCGTGGCACAGTGGGTTAATCCTCCACCTCCAGCACCGGCATCCCATATGGGCACTGGTTCTAGTCCTGGCTGCTCCTCTTCCAATCCTGCTCTCTGCTATGGCCTGGGAAAGCAGCAGAGGATGGCCCAAGTTCTTGGGCTCCTGCATCCACATGGGAGACTGGGAAGAGGCACCTGGCTCCTGGCTTCGGATTGGTGCAGCTCTGGCCATTGTAGCCATTTGGGGAGTGAACCAATGGAAGGAAGACCTTTTCTCCCTGTCCCTCCCTCTCACTGTCTGTAACTCTACCTCTCAAATAAATAAATAAAATCTTACAAAAAAAGAAATATGAAATATAAAAAAAATCTTTAAAATAATACATTTATAAAATGAAATAATTAGGATTAAATGTATCAAGATGTGTTGGATCTGTATGCCAGAAACCACACAGATGGAAATAATCAAAGAACACCTAATCAAATAGAAAAATAAACCATGTTCCCAATGGGGAAAAGCTGAATGTATTCTCTCTGAGATCAAGGGATGCCCATTCTCACTATTTCTGTTCAACATAGTATTGGAAGTCCTAGACAGAGCAATTAGGCAAGTAGAAGAAATAAAAAGCATCCAAATCAAAAAGAAGGAAAATTACAAGTCTGCAGCTGAAATGATCTTTTATATATAAACTTCTAAGGACTCTATCAAACAACTGTTAGAACTAATAAAACAGATTCAGTCAAGATGTAGGATACAAAATTGGCATGCAAAAATCAGTGGCATTTCTATACATTAAATATGAGTTATCTGGAATAAACTCATAAAACAATTCCATTTATATAGCATCAGAAATAATAAAACTTTTTGAAATAAGTTTGACCAAGGAGGTGAAAAATCTATACCCTGAAAAGGACAAAATATTAATAAAAGAAACTGAAGAAGAAAAAATTAATTGAAAGTCTGTATTAATAGACTACAAGACTTAATATTCTTAAAATGTCCATACTATTTCATGCTGTCTATAGATTCAATGCAATCCCTACCAAAATTCTAATAATTTTCTTATACAAATAGAAAACACAATCCTAAAATCCACATGGAACCACAAATATTTCCGAATATCCAAAGCAATTTTGAGAAAGAACAAATATTGAGACATCACATTACATAATTTTAAAGTATATATAAAATATATATATAAAGATTTATTTTGAAACAAAGAGTGACAGAGACAAAGAGAGATCTGTCCCCTAGTTCATTCCCCGAATGGCTACAACATCTGGAGGTGGGCTAGGCCAAAGCCAGGAGCCTGGAGTTCCATCTGGGTCTCCCACATCAGTGGCACTTGTACTATTTTCCAGTGCTTTCCTAGATACATTAGCAGGGAGCTGGATCAGAAATAGAGCAGCTATGACTTGGACCAGCATTCTGATATGGGATGCCAGTGTCACAAACAGTGGTAGCTTAACCTGCTGTGCCACAATACTGGCCTCTACATAAAATATCTTTAATTTTTTTTATTTTATTTATTTGAAAGGCAGAGTTACAGCAGAGTGGGAGAAATAGAGAGACCTTTTACCTACTGATTTACTCCCCAAATGGCCACAAAGGCTGGACCTGCGTCAGGCTGAAGCCAGGAGTCAGGATCTTCATCTGGATCTCCCATATGGGTGCAGGGTCACAAGGATTTGGGCTATCCTCTGCTGCTTTCCCAGGCGCATTAGCAGGGAGGTGGATTGGAAGTGGAACCGGCACCCATATGGGATGCCACCAGTGCAGGTAGAAGCTTAACCCATTATACCACAATGCCAATCCACATAAAACATCAATAACAACTCAATTATCAACTGCATACAAAAGCTCTACAGTTCCCCCGCCATTTTATGTTATTGATGTCACAAACTATATCTTTATTTATTGTGTACCTATTAACATAGATTTGAAAAAATTTCTGCCATTAATCCAAATCAGTTGTTTTCTAATTTCCTTCTTTTTTCTTCCTGAGCTCCCATAATGTGCATAATGGTCCACTTGATAGTGCCTATGAGTCCCTTAAGCTCTCTTAACTTTTCTTCCATCTTTTTCCCTTGGTCCTCTGATTTGGAGATTTCACATGACCCATCTTCAAGTTTTCTGATTCTTTTTCTGTCTTATAAAAAGTCTTCTGTTGACTTCACAGTGACATTTTCAGTTGAGGTACTGTTTTCTGCCTCCAGTAATTCTGTTTGGTTCTTTTAACATTTTTCACATTTCTGTCCTTATCTTCATTTTATTCATACACCACGTTCCTGATTTCATTTAGTTGTCTACCTCTATTCTCATTTAGCCCATTGAGCATCTTTGTGATGGCTAAAAGACAACCACATCTCCTAGTCTTTTTTTAGAAAGCTTTTACTTAATAAATACAAATTTCATAGGTACAGCTTTGGGAATATAGTGGTTTTCCCCCCATGCCTGCCCTCCCACTTCTACTCCTGTCCCACTTCTTAGTCCATCTCCCATCCCATTCTTCATTAAGATTAGTTTTTAATTGACTTTATATATGGAAGACCAACTCTATACTAAGACTTCCACAATTTGCACACAGGCACACAAAGTATAAAGTACTGTTTGAAAACAAGTTTTACAGTTAATTCTCATAGTACAACTCATTAAGGACAGAAGTCCTACATGGGGAGTAAGTACACAGTGACTCCTGTTGTTGACTTAACAATTGATATTTATGATACCAGTGGTTGCCTGAAGCTCTTGTCATGCGCTGCCAAGGCTATGGAAGTCTTTTGAGTCCACAAACTCCGTCAGTATTTAGACAGGGCCATAAGCAAAGTGGAAGTTCTCTCCTCCCTTCAGAGAAAGGTACCTCCTTCTTTGATGGCCCCTTCTTTCCACTGAGATCTCACTCACTGAGATCCTTCATTTAAATCATTTTTTGCCAGAGTGTCTTGGCTTTCCATGCCTGAAATGCTCTCATGGGCTTTTTGGCCAGACCAGAATGTCTAAAGGGCTGATTCTGAGGTCAGAATGCTATTTAGGGTGTTTGTCATTCAGTGAGTCTGCTGTGTGTCCTGCTTCCTATGTTGGATCATTCTCACCTTTTTAATTCTATGTAATGTTATTAGCAGACACTTGGTCTTATTTGTGTGATCCCTTGAACACTTATTCTATATGATCAGTTACACACTTAAGATGATCACTTTAACATGTAAGATGCCATTAGTACCACCCAGCTTAATGGGATTTGAAGTGTGATGGCAAGTTTTTAGCTTTACCCTAGCCTGTGGGGACGTGTGCCAAACTACGTGTACGTCTCCTCTCTCTCTCTTATTCCCACTCTTATTTTTCACTGGGATCTATTTTCAATTGGATTTAAACACCTATGATGAATTCATGTAAAGTAAAGAGTTCAATCAATGGTATTAAGTAGAAAAAGAAAATAGTAAATAAAATAATAAACTTCTTTGATAGGACAAGAGTTGATCAAGTCATAGCTTCTCATAGTGTCAATTTCACTTCTACAGGTTTCTTTTTAGGTGATCTGTTAGTTGTCACAGATCAGAGAAAACATATGACATTTGTCCCTTTGGAACTGGCTTATTTCACTCAGCATGATGTTTTCCAGATTCCTCCATTTTGTTGCAAAGGACAGATTTCTTTTTTTTTTTAACTGCTGCATAGTATTCTATAGAGTACATACCCCATAATTTCTTTATCCAGTCTTCTGTTGATGGGCATTTAGGTTGATTCCATGTGTTAGCTATTGTGAATTGAGCTGCAATAAACATTGAGGTGCAGACAGCTCTTTTGTTTGCCAATTTAATTTCCTTTGGGTAAATTCTGAGGAGTGGGATGGCTGGGTCATGTGGTAGGGCTATATTCAGATTTCTGAGGAATCTCCAAACTGTCTTCCATAGTGGCTTTACCAGTTGGCATTCCCACCAACAGTGGATTAGGGTACCTTTTTCCCCATATCCTCTCCAGCATCTGTTGTTGGTAGATTTCTGTATGTGAGCCATTCTAATGGGGGTGAGGTGAAACCTCATTGTGGTTTTGATTTGCATTTCCCTGAAGGCTAGTGATCCTGAACATCTTTGTTGGTGTGATATGTTTCTTATAGGCAGCAAATAGATGGGTTTTGTTTTTGAATCCATTCAGCCAGTCTGTGTCTTTTAACTAGAGAGTTGAGACCACTTACATTCAAGGTGACTATTGATAAATAATGGCTTTGCCCTGCCATTTTTCCAAAAATATTCTTATCTTTTTACTTCAAATTTCCTTTGTACTTTTACTGAGAGATTTTCTTCCTTTACCTTCTTTCATAGTGATGACTGTGTTTCTGTGTTTCTATGTGCAACATATCCTTAAGCATCTTTTGCAGGGCTGGATGAGTGGTGACAAATTCCTTCAATTTTTGTTTGTTAAGGAAGGTCTTTATTTCACCTTCATTCACAAATGAGAGATTTGCAGGGTATAATATTCTTGGATGAAAGTTTTTTTTTTCTCTTAAGACTTGGACTATATCTTGCCATTCCCTCCTAGCCTGTAAGGTTTCTGATGAGAAGTCCACTGTGAGTCTAATTGGAAATCCTCTGAAAGTAATCTGGCATTTTTCTCAGGGTTAAGGGCATGCCTAGGGTGACACACCCAGGTTTGGTGTGATAAATCTCTCTCTCTCTCTTTTTTTTTAATCAGAATGAAAATTTATTCTGCCCAGCTAAGCTCCTCTCCTCAAATGAGACCAAAGCCTGAATGCTAGCCCCAATGGTTATATTTGTCTGCTCTGTCCCAGGGACCACACAAAGGATCTGTGCAGTTCTCAGTATAAGTTCAGATTCCCCAGCAATATCTCTCACTAGGTATCCAGGAACCCCTGAGCTTGTGGCATCTCCCACTGTGACTGCCCAAAGTCCCAGCCACACCATGAGTCCTCCCACACACCCTCAGTTTTTTTCATAGTCCTGGTACAGAAAACACACACAGTCACAAGCTCCTAGCCCCCTATTTGTTCTCCCCACCAGAGTCATGAGTCTCCACTCTGCTGGGCATAGATAAGAGCTGGCACAGCTGTTACGTTAGGTCCAAAATGGCACCCGCTCTGTTGGCTTATTATAGGACACCGTTGTAACACAATTGGGGAGAGAGAAATGTGTCCCATGCTTTTTTTTTTTCTCTCCTCTAGTTTGGCTGATATACTATCCCCCATGGGACTACAACCTGGGTTCCCTCTAGGCTCTTCCTACCACATTTTCACCAGTGGCTTAGGCTGCTGCAGTCTGGTTTCACTTCACTTTCCAGCACTGTTGGGTAGGCTCTCAGCTGCTGGAGTCTTGAGCCATGGGTGCACATGCCCTCCACGATGGTCCACCGTGTCCCTCTAAATTAGGTAGGATTTTCTCTGTCTTTTTCCCCCTAACTTTTCCCTGAGACTACGCTCTCTCTACTTTTTTAAAACTATCTTCTCCTGGGCTAGAGCAACAAGCTCCCTCCCTACTCTTCTAGCACCGTCTCCTAGTCTTTACAGGACAGGCTGCATGCAGAGAAAGACCTTCACCAATTAGACCAGTTAAAGAGTCTTCTTTTCTGAGGATTTGTCTTTTCCAGAATTGTGCATGTGCTTTTAGTAACCTAAAAATTCCCTAAGTTGTTTGCCCCTGCTTCTTTTCAGAAGCCCATAATCTCTTACTCCCAGTGGCAGCTGCCTGCACAACGAAAGTTCTCACATGCTGTATCAGTTGTGCTGGTTTTCATCAGCTTCCTGACAAGGCTTCCACTTCTGTCGGTCAGGAAAGACAGATACTTTAGCCTCAGGCAGTTCCTGGACTGACCAGATGCTGTACTCCTGGTCCACTCTTTTTTTTTTTTTGCACCCTAAGGGAGGACCCCCAGTGTAGGAGGTTTCCTACCCACTGTGCAATGGTAGAACAGATAGGGGGAGGTACATGGATAGACATACAAAATGCCACAGATTTTCTGACCACTTTGGCTGGAATCATTTCTAGGTTTTACATTGGTTTTGGTGATATAAGTTTTCTCACGTTTCTTACAAAGGTACTGTAGTCTACAGTGTTTACCCATAATGTCTAGGAAAAACAGGGCCTGAAACTTTTCAGTTTTCTATTTTACTGCTTTACTACATTTGGTTCATTTTTGCATTCGTTTTGCTCATTTTCCCCTCTAGTTTCTTTAACATTTTAATAGTTATTCTAAACTTCCTTATCTACTAATTGTGTCATCTATGAATCTTCTACTGACTTTTTCTTTCGATCATTTATTATATTTTCTTGATTCTTCATACCTTCCCCCCTTTTTTTGGTTATATGCCATATTTGTTAAAAGAATCATAGATATTAAGCTAAATAATATTATTCTCCAGAGGCTACATACCCATTCCGGTACCAAGCAGCTAAAATAGGAGGCTTATAACTTCCATCTAATTAGGATGAATCTTTTAGTGATTTTCTGTTTTAATTTGCTGGGATTTGAGTTTCTCCACCTTGACACTGCAATTTTATCAGTCTATACTCATAAGCCTTTGAAGACTATTCAACCTCTTTTTAAAGAGAGAGGGAAAAAGAGAGCAAAACATCAATATCTTCCATCTACTAGTTCACTCCCAAAATGCTACCAATAGCCAGGGCTGAGCTGGACTGAAGGTGGGAGCCCTGAACTCAATCTAGGTCTCCCACATGAGTAGCAAGGACCCAAGCACTTGAGCTGCCTCAAATGATTTGCATTAGCAGGAAGCTGAATCCAAAGTAGAGCCCAGGACTCAAGCCCAGGAATTCCACTATGGGATGTAGGCATCCCAAGAAACAACTTAACTACTGTTCCAAACACCTTCCTACTCGTTTCAACTTCTTGTAAGTTTCTTCCTCTAGAATTGATAGCTACCTCTTCAGGAAAGCTGCCCCTAAATGTCAGGCTCATATCTAGTTTTTTTTTCTACTTTCCCAGTTGTTGGTCCTACAATTACTCATTGCCTTGGTAGCGCCCAGTGATTTTCCACAGAAGTTATTTTACTTGTCTCAGATATTCTAGTTGTTTTCAACAGGAGAACTGGTCTTAATCATCTAGTTTGTTATCAGAAGCAGAATTTTTGTCATAAGCTTTGGCTTTCTACTTGCTTTGGTCCTGGGATTGTAATTTGGAACTATTTCTGCTCATGCTCCTGGAAAACAGTAGAAACACTGTTAAGTAGACTAACAGCAGCTGCAGATTGACTTCTTCAAAGTTTCTGGAACTATCGGTAATAGTAGTTACTGTGTAATAGTAGTTACCACCTAACCACCATGAAATTTTCTTTTATGAATTCTTCCCTGACTACTTGGATGAGGAGAAAGGGGGTACTTGTAATTTGCTATAATTTGTGTTGCATCTGGTTGTGTTAAGGGGCCTAGACATACTACTGGGTTGGAAAAAGAGAGAGGGGAGCTGGATTTCATGTTGCTTTACCATCATGTGCCAGTGAGGCCTCCCAATGCCATGGGAACTCAACCTGGATTCTCCACTGATGGAGTTTTAGGTATGAGTATCTTTAGTGAGACATGGTAGAGGTAGATTGGTTGGCTTTGGTAACAAGCATATCTGTTTTTCCCCACTCTAGCATTAAAATACAAGTATTTGTGAAAAAAATTTTTTAACCTATTTTCCCCCAAGGTAGATAATGGGAAATGAGGGCCACTGATGAACCCTGAGTTAGAACAAGTGAGCATTGAATGCTCTATCTGATAGAGTCATTGAAGAGTCTGCAATTCCCCTTCCTCAGGCTTTATGATCAATTTATGCAACCTCATTGACAAATTCCTGACTTAAAACAGTATTGATTAGCTATTTCCTTTGTCTGGCTTCTATTAACTTTGCAGAAATGACCTTGAATTCTCTATGGGACTAGAGAATATTGACTCTGCAAATGGGCTTCTAGTTTACTGCCAGATGAACACATTTTCAACTTTATGTACTTAGAAGTTTAGTCACTTAATGAATTATAGTGATGTTTAACCTTTGAAGTAAGGTGTGTCACAAAGTCTCAAAACTGTAGAGAACTTTGGATTATGATAACTTGGGGTTAAAAAACAACCTGATCTGGTTACCTTGCAGGTATGAAAGAATTGAAATCCCAATCCATATTGTACCTCATGTCACCATCGGGAAGGTATGCCTTGAATCAGCAGTAGAGCTGCCCAAGATCCTGTGCCAGGAAGAACAGGACGCATATAGGAGGATCCACAGGTACAAATCCTCCTTGCTCCTCTTTTCTACTTCTCAGGGACTAGTATATATTTTCTTCTGTCCTTTTATCTTTAACATCTTAACTCTTGAGCCTTTCCTTTCACCTCTCTGTAAGATAGCTTTATAGTAGTTTCTAATCAGGTTTCTCATGTTGTATGGTAATTCTCCCTTTTTAACATTTGTTTCTCTCCTGCTATACTTCTTTTTTGATACTTCTATTTTGTTTATGAAAATAAGGTAAACCACAACATCTTAGTAGCTCTGTGTCAAGGTTTCAGTGACACAGTAATTTCAGAATTGTCTCTTTGAATTATCTCTTGAATCTTTGAATAAATTACATCTCCCCATAATTAAAACAATAACAATAATGGGAGCTTAAATAATACATATTAACCTAATCTAGTTAACAAAGGTCTCATATAGTTTATCATTTTGTTATAGTATATTGTCATTTTATTTTCCTTTCAATGTTTCCTTTGCTAGCAACCTAAACTATTTTCATTCATTTAGCCTTACACATCTGGACTCAGTAACCAAGATCCATAATGGCTCAGGTAAGATTTTTTTTTTAAGATAAATGATGATTCCAGAAATGCTCTGCTGACAGAAGAAAATTTAGGTGTAAGTGATTGAAAGGATTGGTATAAGTTATCCTTAAGTTTCATTTCTCAGGAGCATTACTGATCCTGCTCCCAGCATTTCTTATGAACCTGGTAGATTGTGCTGCCGAAGGCAGCACATACACTAAAATTGAACCCAGTGGACCCCTGAGTACTGTAAATGCAACCTAAAGTAAGACAGGAAGAAAGACAGGAAAGAGCTTTGTGGTAGACCTACTCAGTGGTGTGCTGGCACATGTTTAACAGCCAGTTCCCAGGGAGGAAGAAGAGCCCTCATTTGTTATGTATGCTAGTTTCCAGCTCTCAGACTTTCTGAAGGTTTAACAGTTGTCTCTTGGGCATTGGTATGAGCTAGGACTTGAAAGACATAGATAGACAAAATTTTGAAATTCATGCATTCAAAAAATTCATGTAAGATGCATATTTAAAAATATGCATGGACTTCAATTTGGGGCACCAAAATAAACTTATCTTTTAATTCCATTTGCCATGATCTTTTTGAAGGGGATTCTTTGGGATGATGGAAATGATCTATATCTTGACTTCAGGTGGTTACATGGGATATACCTTTATCAAAGCTCATGGACCTGTGTACTTTAGATTGGTTCATTTTGGGAGCAGGCATTTGGTACAGTGATTAAGCCTCTCTCTGCTTGGCTCCTGACTCCAGTTTTCTGCTAATTCAGACCCTGGGAAGCAGCAAGTGATGACTTAAGTGATTGCATCCCTACTACCCACGTGGGAAACCTGGATTGCATTCCTGGCTCCTAGCTTTGGCCTGACACATCTCTGGCCATTGTGGGCATTTCAAGAGTGAACCAGTGAAAAGGAGCTCTTTCTCTGTCTCTCTTTCTCTCTCTCCCTGACCCTGTGTCTTTCAAATAAATAAATTAAACAATTTTTAAAAACATTAAAATAAATAGGTTCATTTTTGTCTGTAAAGAATATCCTGATAAAGCTCATTTTAAAAGTTAAAGAAGTAAGGGAAGACAATCTAGGAGAATACTTTTCAAACTCTTGAGAGATAATGGCCTAAGTGTAATCTGAAGCCCTGAACTCACAAAAGATTGACTAAATAAACATAAAAGGCTTTTTCAGACCCTGACAATATGGGAGATCTGAAGCACTGGGGAGAGGAATGCTTCTGTGCCTTTGAGCCTTTGTCTAAGGGGAGTAAAGAGCTGGCCATCTTTCTGCTCCCTGCACAGCCAGGCTTCTCTCTGGCTTACCAATCCAAGGGTATCAAGTATCTTTGTTAAGCGCCTCTGTCTTTTACCTGGCTGACAATAGAAATCATTTACCAGTCCTACTCATACTTTTTCTACTTCTTCCTCCTCCAGCCCCCTTTTTCTGTGCTCATGATTGGAGGGCTGTTGGGGAAAAGCCAGAGGATAGTGCTTTTCCACAGTTATCTCATCTTTGTCTTTCCTGTTGAAGTATTCACCAAGAATCTGTGCAGTCAGATGTCAGCAGTCAGTGGACCTCTTCTACAGTGGTTGGAAGACAGATTGGAGCAAAACCAACAGCATTTGCAGGAGTTGCAGCAAGAAAAGGAGGAGCTTATGAAAGAACTTTCTTCTCTAGAATAAAGAAGACAAAATGAGGTAAAAGGAGCTCTTTTCAATCTGTGTGCTAAACATGGTCTGACACAACTCTACTCTCTGCCCTCATTGAGAAGCATGCATCTCTGTCTTCCTTCATCACTAAAATGTACTGAGGTACCTCTCAAACGTTAATTCTACATAGATGCTCTTTCTGCCAAATAGGAGAGTTCTAGCATAGTGGACTCTGAAGCAAATTCCTATTGAATAGATCCCATCTACCTAGGAATTTTCATTATAAGTGTGTTTTCCAGAAACATTAAAGATTTAGGATATAATAGAGTCAGGCCTGTTGCATACTGGAAATTGAAGTGAAAATTCAAGGAATTGGAAGAAAGAAAACAAAAAGGGCCCAGATTCTGTTAACAGTGATACAGGTTATTTGCATTTTTGTTTTTTCTTCATGATTCACCCTATATTATTGTTTTTCAAATTTCAAAGGATAATCTGGAACTACCTACATCAGAATCAATTGGTGATCAAACTTTGTCTTTGGAGGTAGAAACTAGAAATCCACATGAACTGCCCAAATTTCCAAGGCATACTAATGTCTCAAAAATACTAACCTAGGATATATGAAATGTAAATAATATATTTTCTCTGGTTCTCCACAGCCACAGTTCCTCTCTATTCTTTTTCATTCCCTATAGGAAAAATGAAGTTATTCGTGTAAAATGAATTAAGATAAACCAATTTTGAAGAAGAAAAAGTTGGAGGACTCATATTACCTGATTTCAAGACTTACTATAAAGCTATATCAATCAAGATTGTATAGTATTGGCAAAGGAATAAACACACATACCAGTGGACCATGCCCAACTGATTTTGATGAAGTGCAAAAGCAAATCAATGGAGGAAGGATAGCTTTTCAAACAAATTATGCTGGAACAATTATACTCCCCTGTGGAAAGAAAAATACCTAAATATCTCACCTTTATAAAAGTTTTAGCTCAAAACGTATCATGAACTTAAATGTAAGATGTAAAACTATAAAACTTTCAGGAAAATATCATAGAAGAAAAAATTGCAGGACCTTGACAAGTTCTTGGACTTCATCTCAAAAGCACAATCCAAAAAAAAAAAAAAAAAGAAGAAGGTGATGTATTGGATGTCATCAAAATTAAAAACTTTTGTTCTGGGGCCAACATCGTGACACAGTAGGTTAAGCTGCTTCTTGCAATGCCAGCATCCCATACCAGAGCACTGATTTGAGTCCTGGCTACCCCATTTCCAATCCTGCTTCCTGCTAATGTGCCTGGGAAGGCAGCAGAAGATGGCCCAAGTGCTTGGGGCTCTGCCACCCATTGTGGGAGACTTAGTTGGAGTTCCTGGCTCCTGGCTTCAGTCTGGCTCAGCCCCAGCAATTGCAGCCATTTGGAGAGTGAAGCAGTGGATGGAAGATCTCTCTCTTGTCTCTCCCACCCCTCTCCATCTCCCCCTTTCTCTGTTACTCTGCATTTCAAAGTAAATAAAATAAACCTTTTTAAAAAGTTTGTAAAACTTTTGTTTTATAAAAAGGTTAAGAAGAAAAGACAAACTACAGATTTAAAGAAGGTATTGTTGCCAAGTATGTATCAATCTTGAATATATAAAATATGCTTGAAACTCAACAATAAAAAACAATCCAGTAAGAAAATGGACAAAAGACATGTATAGACATTTCACCAAATAGGATATGTGAATGGCAAGTAAGCACATGAAAAGATATTGATATTTATCAGTCATCAGAGAATACAAATTAAAATCACAATAAGATGTGACTTAAAACACCAGAATGGCTAAAGACAAAATAGTGAAAATGCCAAATGCTGTTGGAGATACAAACTGGATCTCTCATACATTGCTGATAGGGATGCAAATTGGTGCAGTCACTTTGAAAAAGAGTTTGACAATTTCTTATAAAGTTAAACAGTTAACATGTGACCTAGCAATTGTACTCCTGGATGTTATCCCAGAGAAACCTATGTTGGCACAAAAACATGTACACAGACATTCGTAGCCCAAATTGGAAACACCCTAAATGTTCTGCAACATGTAAGTAGTTCAACAAACCATCTGTACCATGGAACGCTGTTCTGCTATGATACACACAGAACAACTTGGATGGACCTCAGGAGTGTTTTGAGTGAAAAAAAAAGCCAATCTGAAAAGGTCATACTGTATGATTGCATTTATACTTATATAGCATTGTTGAAATAATAAAATTATGGAAATGAGGAACAGATGAATGCTTGCCAGGAATAGGGAATGCATGACTATAAAGAGATGACACAAGGATTACCTTTGTCCTGATGGAAAAGTTCTTTATCTTGATTGTGGTATTGAGTATGTGAATACATACCTGTACTAAAATTATGTAGATCTACACTCATACAAATGAATGCATGTGGAATCTAGTGAAAAAAGAATAAATCTGTAATCTAGTTAGCATTATTACATATAACATTGTCAATGTCTTGATTTTAAAATTGTAAGACTGCAACATGGGGATAAACTGAGAGAAGGGTACATGGAACTCTGTACTATTTTTTAACTTCCTGTGAGTCTATAATTATTGCCAAATAAAGTTTAAAGTTTTAAATAAGGAGCTAGAAAGTATGGTACCTACTTTATGAAATAAGAAAGGGGTGGGCCGGCGCCACGGCTCAATAGGCTAATCCTTCGCCTGTGGCACCAGCACCCCTGGTTCTAGTCCTGGTCGGGGCACCAGATTCTGTCCCGGTTGCTCCTCTTCCAGTCCAGCTCTCTGCTGTGGCCTGGGAAGGCAGTGGAGGATGGCCCAAGTCCTTGGGCCCTGCACCCGCATGGGAGACCAGGAGGAAGCGCCTGGTTCCTGGCTTCGGATTGGCACAGCACGCCGGCCATAGCGGCCATTTGTGGGGTGAACCAATGGAAGGAAAACCTTTCTCTTTGTCTCTCTCTCTCCCACTGTCCACTCTTCCTGTCAAAAAAAAAAGGCAAAGAAAAAAGAAAGAGGTGATAGAAAAGATCTGAGGAGGATCAAATAATTTGACAATCTAACTTTGAGTGTGTACTTCTTTCCCTTCCTGCTTTTCATTTTCTTTGTGTATAAAATGAGGTGAGAATTGGTCACCACTAAGGTTCCTTTTAGCTCATTGTTCAGTCTTTGAAGGTCTTTAAAGTCAAAAAGAAGAGTGATTTGAAGAAGACATCAATACTTTCTCAGCTGTATTAAAATAATGCATTCTGGCTGGTGCCATGGCTCAATAGGCTAATCCTCCGCCTGCGGCACCGGCACACCGGGTTCTAGTCCCAGTCAGGGTGCCGGATTCTATCCCGGTTGCTCCTCTTCCAGTCCAGCTCTCTGCTGTGGCCCAGGAGTGCAGTGGATGATGGCCCAAGTGCTTGGGCCCTGCACCCGCATGGGAGACCAGGAGAAGCACCTGGCTCCTGGCTTCGGCGGCTGCAGCGCACCAGCTGCAGCGGCCACTTGGGGGGTGAACCAACAGAAAAGGAAGACCTTTCTCTCTGTCTCTCTCATGTCCATTCTGCCTGTCAAAGAAAAATAATAATGCATTCTAACACACAGTCCTGTATCCCCTTGTGGATACCAGATACTTCATTTTTTAATCAGTCAAGACTCTGGTGAAAACAATATAGACCTCTCTCTGTTTCCTTATCTGCTTTTACATTCAACTCATTACATTCTGACCTCTGTCCACATCACTCTTCTGAAGCCATTCCTGCCAAAGTCATGGGTTACCTTCATATAGTGATAGTAGATACTTTGCCTGTCCTCAATGAAGCTCTCAGTCTTAACAAGTTGGTCACTGTTGGAAACTGTCTCTCCTGGCTTCTGCCATTCTATTTTCTGATATTTTTCTTCTCAGAATCATTCATAGGCTTCTCTGTGTTTACTTAGATATATGCAATTGACAGGCAAATCTATATATCCATACCTCTGTGAACTGTGGACCTGTGTTTCTACCTTTTACCTACTAGGTATTTCTACTTGGCTGTTTTAATGGCACATGAAACTTAGTTCATCTAAATTTGAGCTTATGGCTTTCAATAAACATGGGAGTGCAGATGTCTCTTTCATATGCTGATTTTGTTTCCTATGCATATACTCTCAAAAGATGAGAGGCACACACAGAGAGGTCTTCTATCTGGGGGTTCTCTCCCCAAATGCCCACAGTAGCCAGGGCTGGGCCAGGCTGAAGCCAGGATCCCAGAACTCCATCTGGATCTCCCACATGGATGGCTGGGACTGAAGCACTTGAGCCATTATCTGCTGCCTCCCAGGATGCATTAGCATAAAGCTGGATTGGAAGTAGAATGGCTGGAACTCTTATTGGCACTCTATAATGGGATGTGGATGTGTCAAGTGGCCACCTAACCCACTGCAGCACAAGCCCACTCCAGTAAACATGTTTTATAAGTAACAGTGCACTCCAAAGTAATAAGTAATATAGTGAGTTAACAAACCAGTCACATAGTGCTTTTATTATCAAGTATTATGCACTGTGCATAATTGTATTTATGTATGGCAACACAGCAGGTTTGCACCAGGCATCACCACTAACAAGAATAATATATTGCATTATGATAGTATGAAGGCTACAAAGTCACTAAGTGATGGGAATTTTCCAGCTCCATTATGATTTTTGGATAGCACCATCATGTATACAGTCTATCATTAACCAAGTCATATGGTACATAACTTAGTGTGTATAAACACACAGATGTGTGTCTTTATGTTTGAAATCCATGCATAGGTGGGTCCCCCAAAAGCTTATGGAAAATATGTATTATGAAAAAGCCATGCATGAGTTTCAAACATTTTGAGCCAAAATAAACTTTTTAATAGCAATAAAATATATTTTTATTTATTTTATTGAGTCATGTTGATCTCTAACACCATTCCCCCATCACCATTGCTGCAAGAATATTGTGAACTTTGTCTTTGTAGAAAATTAAATCCAATTTACAGACATTTTCAAAACACTTGTCTAATGTTTCCAGGAATACTTGAATTAGATTCAAAATGCCAAGTTCACTTCCTGAAAAATCAACACAGAAGACAAAATATAACATTGCAAATTGTCTGTAAACCAGTTTGCTATCAGATCTTCCAAGTAATAGTCCTCCTAGAAAATTACATTTTCATCTCTCTCAGATTCCCTGATGATTTGCTGTGGTGCATCTTGACTGTAGGCCTGGTAGAACTTGGAGAGCTGTGGCCTCTGTACTTGTTGAAGATGAGGATCACCTTGATTATGGCTGGATGGGGCATACCCAGTAGGCATTGGGGGCCAGGTGGGGATGGTACATAATCCTCACCTTGAGATTTCAGCAGTGATTCTTCCCCACCCACTGATGTACGTGCTCAAAAGCTCTAAATTTATCTTTTAGTTCTATTTTTTCTACAAACTTTTTTGAGGGACCCTCACATGAGTGAGTGTGTGTGTATATACCTACACACATTTCTTAACTGTCCACTAAGAGAGACTAGAAGTGACACCCCAGTAGTTGTACAGACCCAGAACCAAGACAGTGGTTTTCCTATATTATTGAAAGTTAATGAGAATTGAGAATCTAGAAATAAGCTTATACATCTATAGTCAAGATTTTGACGAGGATGTCAAGAATGGGGAAAGAACTGTGTTCAACAACTTGTGATTGGACAGTTGGATATCCACAAGGAAAAGAAAGAAGCTGGACTCATACCCCACACCATATACTTGTATGAGTACGAGGGGAAAATGTGTATTGTGAAAAAACTTCACATGTATTTCAGAGGTTTTCTTGTGCATCAAAATAAAGTATCTTTTAATTCCACTTCCATGAGCTTTTTGAAGTACCCTCATATTAACTCAAAATATGTCAGACTTATATGTAAGAGTTGAAACTATAAAATCCTTAGAAGAAAACACTAATAATTGTTTTTTACCTTGAATTTGGTAGTGGATTCTTAGACACCAAAAGTATAAGCAACAAAACAAAAGCCAGATAACTTGGGCTTCCTGAAAATTTCAAGTTTGTGCATCAAAACATCAAAATGGGGTAGGCATTGGCACAACAGTTAAGTCACCTCTTGGGACACTGCATTCCATGTTGGATTGTCTGGGTCGAGTCCTGGCTACTCCAATTCCAATTCTGTTTCCTGCTAATGAACACCATGGGGGGCAGTAGATGATGACTCCAGTACTTGGTTCTCTCCCACCCATATGAGAAGCCCAAATGGAGATCCACACTCCTGGCTTTTGCCTGACCCAACCCTGGCTGTTGTGGGCATTTGGGGAGTGAACCAACAGTTGCAGGATCTTTCTGTCTCTTTTTCAGAAAGAAAAAAGATTTATTTATTTGAAAGGCAGAATTATGAAAAGAGAGAGAGAGTTCTTCCATCCACTGGCTCACTTCCCAGATGGCCACAATGGCCAGAGCTGAGCTGATCTGAAGTCAGGAGCCAGGAGCTTCTTTAGAATCTCCCATGTGGGTGTAGGGGCCCAAGGACTTGGGCCATCTTCCACTGATGTCCTAGGCCATAGCAGAGAGTTGGATCAGAAGTGGAGCAGCCAGGACTCAAACTGGCAGTGCAGCACCGGTCCCTTCTCTGTCTCTGTCTCTCCACCTTTCAAATAAAACAAAAATAGTAAGTTTTTAGAAGATAAGAAAAAAGCAAAAATTCAAAGAGGAGAAGTTATTTGAGTGTTATATATCTATTATGCAGAATACATAACACTGACAGCAAGAATAGCAAAACCCAAACAATACAATTCAAAATTTGGCAAAAGATCTAAATAGACATTTAGAAACTGTCAATAAGCACATGAGGGTGCTTGACATCATTAGTCACTAAAGAAATGCAAATGAAAACCAAGAGATAGCACTTCACACCCATGAGAATAGAAATATATGATATTAACAAGCACTGATAAGGATGTGGAGAAACTGGAACTCTTGTACAATGCAGGTAAGAATATAAAATGCTGTAATGGATTTTTTAAAGATTTATTTATTTGAGAGGCAGAGTTACAGAGATAGGGAGAGACAAAGGCAGATCTTCTATCTGCTGGTTCACTCCCAAATGGCTGCAAGTGCTGGAGCTGGGCCAATATGAAGCCAGGAGCTAGGAGCTTCTGGGTCTCCCACATGGGTGGAGGGCCCCAAGCACCTGGGCCATATTCCATTGCTTTCCCTGACACATAGCAGGGAGCCGGATCAAAAGTGGAGCAGCCAGAACTTGAACCAGCATCCATATGGGATACCAGTGCCACAGGTGGAGGTTTAACCTACTATGCCACAGTGTGAGCACTTTGTTACGGATTTAGGAAATATTCTGATGGTTCCTCCAAAGGTTAAAGGTTAAGCATAGGATTACCATAAGAGCCAGCAATTGCCCTCTTACGTGTATACCCCACAGAACCGAAAACAGGAATTCAAACAAAAACTTCTACATAGTAGAACTATTTGTGATATCCCAATAGGTGCAAACAACTCAAATGTCTCATCAGTTGATGAGTGCATAAACAAAATGTGGTCCATCTATAGAGTGGAATATCATTTAGTCCTAAACAGGAATGAAGCACTGAATCATGTGCAACATGGATGGAACTTGAAAATATGGTATGTGTGGGGCCAGCGCCGTGGCGCAGTAGGTTAATCCTTCGCCTGTGGCACCGGCATTCCATATGGGCACCGGTTCTAGTTCCAGCTGCTCCTCTTCCAATCCTGCTCTCTGCTATGGCCCGGGAAGGCAGTGGATGATGACCCAAGTGCTTGGGCCCCTGCACCTGCATGGGAGACCCTGCAGAGACTCCTGGCTCCTGGCTTCAGATCGGCGCAGCTCTGGCCGTTGCAGCCATTTGGGAAGTGAAGCAACAGAAGGAAGACCTTTCTCTCTGCCTCTCCCTCTCTGTGTCTGTAACTCTACCTCTCAAATAAAGAAATTAAAAAAAAATCTTTAAAAAGGAAAATATGCTATGTGAAAGCAGTTACTGGTGGTGCCTCACTACCACTAAGACATTTTAAGTTGCAATGTTGTTACTTCAGTGTAGTCAGTTGACCCTGGTCAAACCAGTGAAGTTCTTGAATCTAATCTGTATTATTTTTTATGTGATAAACATTCTATTTATCTTTGTGCCTATGACTGAAACTGTTGAATGTACTATTAGCCTTCTCTAGGTTGTCAAGGATGTTCCCAGTTAAAGAATACTACAATTAGAACTATAGTCAATGGGATAAGTGCACCATGTGCCCAGTTGTATGGAGTCAGGAAAACCAGGACCATAGAAGTGAATGATTATTCTGCTGATGAAGGTGCTGAGAGTTTGTCACCATTAAAAAAGAAAATATTTTGCCGGCGCCGCGGCTCACTAGGCTAATCCTCTGCCTTGCGGCGCCGGCACACCGGGTTCTAGTCCCGGTTGGGGCGCCGGATTCTGTCCCGGTTGTCCCTCTTCCAGGCCAGCTCTCTGCTGTGGCCAGGGAGTGCAGTGGAGGATGGCCCAAGTGCTTGGGCCCTGTACCCCATGGGAGACCAGGATAAGTACCTGGCTCCTGCCAGCGGATCAGCGCGGTGCGCTGACCGGGGCGGCCATTGGAGGGTGAACCAACGGCAAAGGAAGACCTTTCTCTGTCTCTCTCTCTCACTGTCCACTCTGCCTGTAAAAAATAAAAATAAAATAAAATAAAAAAGAAAATATTTTGAGTTCATAACCCAACTTTCCACTTTAAGGAGATGTAAAAGAAGAGCAAATTAAACCCAAGACTAGCAGAAGGAAGGTTATAATAAAGATTAGAGTGGTGATAAATGACTTAAAGAACGGAAAAACAGTAGAGAAAAATCAATAAAACAAAAATTTGTTCTCTGGCCAGATCAACAGAATTGACAATTCTTTTTTTAAAGATTTTGATTATTTGGCAGGTAGAGTTACAGAGAGAGAGAAAGTTCTACCATCTGTTGGTTCACTCCCCAAATGGCCACAATGGCTGGAGCTGGGCCGATCTGAAGCCAGGAGCCAGAAGTTTCTTCCATGTCTCCTATGTGGGTGCAGAGGGCAAGGATTTGGGCTGTCTTCCACTGCTTTTCCAGGCCACAAACAGAGAGCTGGATCAGAAGAGGAGCAGCTGGGACACGAGACGGAGGCTTAGCCTACTATGCCACAGTGCTGACCCCAACAATTCTTTTGTCTGTCTATCATCTTTCTGTATCTATTTGAAAGGAGGGTGACAGTGAGGAAGGGGCAGAGGTAAGGAGAAAGAGAAGTGTCAGTGGTGTATCTATATGGCAGCAATGATCATTACAAAAAAAAAAAACAATTTAATAATGTGCAAAGTACCTAAACAGACATTTCCTCAAAGTAGATATACAAATTGCCAATTAGTACATGCAAACATGCTCAAAATCCTTACCAGAAATGCAAATGGAAATCACATTGAGATGCTTCCCAACAGCTAGGATAGCTCTAAGCAAACAAATGTTGACAAGGATATGAAGAAATTAGAAATCTTATACATTGCTGGTATTGATGTAAAATAGTTCAGCCACTGTTCATCCCCAAAATAGTGGCAATTCTTCACAACAAAGTTAAACATAGAAATACCATATGATCATGCAATTCAATTTGTAGGTAAATACCCAAAAGAACCGAAAACCTTCATTGAAACATGCTTGTACATGAAGCAATATTCACAACTTCCCAAAGGTTGGAACAGCCCAAATGTCCATCAGTGAAAAAAATGAATAAACATTGTGAATAATTGATACATGCCACAACTTATATGGTGTATCATTCACAACATGAATCAACATTGGGTTTATTATGCTGAGTTAAAAAAGCCAACCACAAAGATACATAAAGTACATTAGTAGTTGCCTAGGACTAGGAGGTACAGGGGAAAATGGGGGTTTTTGGAAAGTAGTGAGATATTATAAATTGATATTGGTGATAGTTGCACAGCTCTTGGAGGGTACCAAAAACTATTGAATTGCACAGTAATGGATAAATGGTATTATATATGAATTAAAGATACTTAAGAAAACATAACTTGAAATGATAGAAGTGATTTGAAAGTAATGTATGCCTGATAGAACAAGGACATAAGTCTCAGCCATTTTAGTTTCTTGTTACCCCTGCCTTCTTTCAAGAGACCAGTTCAGTCTCACACCCAATTGTTCTCCGCCCCCCCGCCCCCCCCCACAGTCTTCCCCAGGTTTGGAAGCCCACAGGCCAAAATTGAAGAACCAGTATGAAGCTTACCTCTACCTACTGCCCCCCCTCACCCCTAGCCCACCTAAGATATAAAAAGGCCCAGCCTATTGGGGTCTGGACCCTCTGCCATGTGTTCAGTCTATGTCACGCTGGCAGTTTGTCACCCATCTTTGCAGATTATTTTCTTTTAATAAATTTGGTCTGACTACAAGTTTGTACCCTGTCTCTTCTCTGTTCTGTGCCCTTTATATTTGTTGCCCCATGTGGGGAGGCACCAGTATGCCCCTTTTTTTCTTACAATGCCTGTTTAAGCAAACTTCAACATTCTTTAAAGAAAAACACCAAAATGCAACCCTCACCGAAGCCAAATTAATATCTAGCATCCAATAGAAAATTACTAGGCATAGGGAGAAGCACAAGACAAAAATAAGTCAATAGGAATTGACACAGAAATGACAAAGATTATGGAATTAACATTCTAACTATTAGGAATATCTTCAAGGGTTTAAAGGAAAGTGTGAACATAATGAGGAGAGTAATGAAAGATATGAAAAGAACCAATGGAATTGCTAGAGATGAAAACTACATTATTAGCAATGCATTATGTTCTGAATGGGATTAACAGCATATTAGACTTCTGCAGAAGAAAAGTTCTTGAAGATATAGCAAAAGAAATTCTCCGAGGATGTATGTTTGGCATAGTAGTTAAGATGCTGCTTTCGATACTGTATCCCTTACTGGGGAGCCTAGATTCCAATTCTGGCTCTACTTCCAATTCCAGTTTCCTGCTAATGCACACTCTGGGAGGCAGCAGGTGGTGACTCAAGTATTTGAGTCCCTACCACTCACATGGGAGCCCTGGAATAAGATTTGGGCTCTTGGTTTCAGCCTGACTCATACCTAGCTGTCATGAATATTTGAGCAGAGAATCAGCAAATGGAAGATCTCTGTTTCTGTGTCTGTCCCTCTGTTTCTGTCTCTTTGTCTTTCAAATATGCACATACATAAATATATATGACATAAATAAAATTAAGAAAATACTACTGTGGCACAGTGGTTAACTCACTTTTTGGGATGCCTACATTTTATATCAGAGTTTCTGGTTCAAGTTCCTGCTCTGCTTCTGATCTACTAAAGTGCATCCTTAAAGGCAGCAGGTAGTGGCTCAAGTATTTGGGTCCCTGCCACCCATGTGGGAGACCCAGGTGGAGTTGCTGCCTCACACCTTTGGGCTGGCCTAAAACCTCAACTATTGTGGGTATTTGGGGAATGAATCATCAGATGGAAGATGTCTCTCTCTCTCTCTCCCTCTTCCTCTCTCTCTCTCTGTCTCTACCTTTGAAATAAAATGAAAATAAATAAGTGTACTACACATTTAATCAGAACAGTCAAGTGTACAAAGGGCATTTACATTTATCATATTATGTGCCATAAAATAAATCTCAAGTTTTACACATTGAAATAATAAAAAAAGTTCAACAACAAAAGCATTTCTTGGTACTAATTCTCCATATTATAAGAGAAACGTGTCAAGTCAGTAACTTAACCTGCTACATTAAGTAACTGGAAAAATAAAGAGCAAAATAAAACCAAAGCAAGTCGGAGGAATAAATAGTGAAAAATAAGAGCAGGAAATAAGGAAATTGAAGACAGAAAACAAAGAAAATCTATAAAATCAAAAGCTAGTTCTTTGAGGACATTAAGAAAATTGGTAACTCTAGCCTAACTAATCAATAATTTCCAAAGTCCTGTCACAAGACTGCTTAATTTCCTAGAGCCATCAGAATCTAAGCAAGCGTCTGTGTACCCCCTTATTGGGGCCGGCAGCCATCTTTTCTAGTGCCTTGCTAGCTCAAATCCCACCTCATAATGCTGGAGGACTGCATCAAGCAGTATGAAGTAAAAGGTTACGTGGTGAGTGCCATTGGCTAGGTAAGCCTTTCTTTCCTCATCTCAGGCTCCTTGTGAGTTACGAGGGGGTGCCGGTCCCTGCTGATCTGAAGAGGAGGGACCGGACTCTGCATCCATCACCCTCGTAGGTAGCGATCTGTGACATTCTCATGGGGTGGTCTGCGTCCAAGGCTGCCCTCGGGGCAACCACCGATGAACCCACGGAGCCCGAGCCAAAACACCTAGCTGGTGAGTAAGAGGCTGAACGCAGGCACAGTCTAAATGCGGAAGAATCTGTAATGGCAATACCCGACTCCCCTCCCCTGAAGTGGAAATTTGAACCTTTGTGCATAGAAGGGAATCACTGGTGTTTTTAATGCTAAATTTCAAAATATTTATTAGTTATTCAAATAACTTAGAAGATAAGGGGGTGATGCAAAACAACCTGTTTCTTACAATGGCCTCATTTCCCGAGTCTAACTCAGTGCCCTCCCTTATACATGCACAGTTCTTAAAGTGGTCTAGTGCTCAAAGTGTAGATTCTCAGTCTAGTCCCATTGCGTATGGTTTGAGTTCATAATGAATAGTGACTTCATAAACAGTATGTGCTGTTACCTACAGAGATCCTACTGCTACTTACTCTTTTGATCATGTCTTTATTTTGATATTTTACTTGAAACCTATTCATTGACTTAATCTGTATTTGTCTTCTGAAGTCTTATTTCCTTTTCTTTTTTTTAAACATTTATTTATTTGAGAGGCAGAGAGAGAGAGAGAGAGAGAGAGAGAGCGAGCGAGCTTCCGTTTGCAGGTTCACTCCCCAAATGGCTGCAGTGGTCTGAGCTGAGTAGATCCAAAGCCAGGGGCCTGGTGCTGCGGCTCACTTGGCTAATCCTCCACCTGCAGCACCAACATCCCATATGGGTGCTGGGTTCTAGTCCAGGTTGCTCCTCTTCCAGTCCAGCTCGCTGCTGTGACCCAGGAAGGCAGTGGAGGATGGCCCAAGTGCTTGGGCCCTTGTACCCGCATGGGAGGCCAGGAAGAAGCATCTGGCTCCTGGTGTAGCTCCGGCCGTAGCGGCCTTTTGGGGGGTAAACCAGCAGAAGGAAGACCTTTCTTTCTGTCTCTCTCTCACTGTCTAATAAATAAATAAATAAATAGATCCAAAGCCAGGTCCCAGGAGTTTTTTCCCGGTCTCCCACACAGCATTATTCTGGGAAGGCCATGTACTGGAATGAAACACAGAAAAAAAAAATTCATTCTTCATAACCTTAAATGTGACACAGCAGTATATACACTTGGTGAATAAATGAATCTGAATGTATATACTTGTGAAGCACTGTCCTTGTACCTATTCTAGTGCTATATATCTAAGAGTTCTGATGAATTAATAAGTTCTACACATAGAAAGTGTCTGACACTGGAAGTTTATAGACAATTATGAAAGCAAAGAGGATTTCTTTTCTTCTTGAGGTAACATTTTTAATTTACAGCAAAGAGAATTCTGAACCCATAAAAAGTAAGCGATCATTGTGTGCCCTTGAGTGAAAATGAAATGATGAAAGCCTTACTTTTGAATGGCTGTATGAAACAATTTGATGAGTGGTTACTATCTTGAGGCAAGAAATTAGGACATGGATACAGGCAAAAGAGTCAGACACAGGGTATCACTAACAAGGAAAGCTCCTAACTGAACTTCTTGGAATAATACTTTTCTTGAGAGAAGCACTATAACAGTTATTGGTGTCACTTAATTACTTGTATGACCTTGGGTATGTTATTTACCTTCTTGAGTAGTAGTCATTGATTTAACAAGTATTCACCATCAACTGTGCTGGGTCTTGGTGATCAAAATGGATGCACTCCTTGCCTTCATCAAGGTAATAACTAAACAAGCATTAACTCTCATGGAACATATATCAGTACAAATTGTAATATATGTAATGAAGGAAAGGGTTTTTTTTTAGTTACTTCCTTTGTTTTTTTCCTCTGAAATATGATTGCATCTGTATTTAGTTAAACTTTCCAATTGTAGTTTTAAAATTATTTCTGTATTTTAACATTTGTTACTATTTCTAATTCAGATCTAATACAGTACGTAAATGAAACAAATATGAGTGTTGAACATCTAGCTAATGTTCTTTCTGAAAAAACTGGAAGCAGCAACTGGGTGGTGGTGTTCAAAGCTCTGGTTACTGTGCATCACCTCATGGTACATGGAAATGAGGTGAGCATCAATTCCTTCCTTCTAGTGCAGAGGATTGTAAATATGTGTTTGCAAAATATTTTGGTTTTATCAATATCTTACTACTTTCAACTTTTATTAGTGACAACGGGGAAAAGTAAATAGCAATATGTACTGAAACTTTTTTTTCCTGAAGCAGATATTTAGCACAGCAGTTAGGATGCTGCTTGGGACACTTGGCATCCCATAAAGGAGTGTCTGGGTTTGAGTCCCAGCTCTGCTGTCCATTCCAGCTCCCTGCTAATGTGCACCCTGAAAGGCAGCAGGTGATACCTCAAGTAGTTGGGTCCCTGACACCTGTGATGGAATTCCAGACTGAATTCCTGGTTCCTAACTTTGGGAAATGAACCAGTGGATGGGGGATACCTATTTCTCTTTCTCTCTCTCTCTGCTTTTCAAATAAATTTTTAAAATTTAAGAATGTTTTATCTGTTTTTACTAATGCATATATCTTTGCAATCAGTATTTGAGGTGTATCATTTTAACCACATAAGGTAGACATTGACAATAAATAAGTACATATTTCTCTCAATTCTTTAGATGATTGACAAAAATACCCTCAAAACTATATTGTTGCATAGCTGTTTTACTTTGTCCACCTCTTCCCATATGTACACTCTTCATGTTTTATGTAACAGCTAAAATGCTCTATATCATTAAATTACATGCAATTTTCTATTTTAAAATTACATTTTATGTCAATAAACAAGTGTCACACTAAATAAGTAAAGTTTAGAAATTTGGCTTTGAAACTTACTATGGAGCAACAGTAATTATACTATATGATATTGGTTAGAATAGAACATACTCGTATATTTAAATGAAACAGAGAGGAACTAAATTTTTCAATGGAGGAAAATGTAGGAGAATATGTTTATGACATTTGGATAGAGAAGATACCACAAAACTGAAAGAATATATTTGCAACCTATATATACTAGGTTCAAGGTTAATTCAGCATATATAATTAGTAAGAAAAAGAGTACATAGACTAATCATCAAAAGAAATGATGGGGCTGGCATTGTGGCTTAGAGGGTAAAGCTGCTGCTTACAGTGCCGGCATCCCATATGGACGCTGGTTTGGGTGCTGGCTGCTCCTCTTCCGATCCAGCTCTCTGCTGTGGCCTATGAAACCAGTGGAGGATGGCCCAATTCCTTGGGCCTTTGCACCCATGTGGGAGATCTGAAAGAAGCTCCAGGCTCCTGGCTTCAGATCAGCCCAGTTCCAGCTGTTGTAGGCATTTGGGAAATGAACAAGCAGATGGAAGACCTCTCTCTCTCTCTCTCTCTCTCTCTCTCTGCCTCTGCCTCTCTGTAACTCTTTCAAATAAAATAAATCTTTTTTAAAAAAAAATAAGCACAGAGTTCACAGAAAGGGATAACTTTCTGAGAACATGCTTAAATTAGCATACTTAAAATTTATGACAGTATAAAGAATTAGAATGACATTGAGGAAATGGGAACTTGCATACCTACTTCTTGCAGAATATTTGTAATAATGAAAAACCAGAAATCACCTAACTTTCCATAATAGGAATACATAAAATAATGCATGGCTATACAATGAAATATGGGGGTATTTCAGAAAATTCATTAAAATGAATGTTTTGAAAAAAATATAAATATATTTCAATTTTTATGCCAAAATAAGCATCTTTTAAAAATATTTTTTTTAATTTAAGAGGCAGAGAATGTATGTGTGTCTGTCTGTCTAAGAGAGAGTGAGAGCAAGACAGCAAGAGAGAGAAAGAGAGAGAGCAAGCTCCCATCAGCTGATTCACTTCCCAAATGCCTGCAATGGTCAGTGCTGGGCTGGGCCAAAGCCAAGAGCTGGGAATCCAATCCAGGTCAGTGGGTGGTAGGAACCCAACTACTTGAGTCAACACCACTGCCTCCCAGGGTTCACACAAGTAGGAAGTTGGTGTCAGGAGTCACAGCTGGGAATCAAACTCAGGTACTCTGTTACAGAACATAGGCATCTTAACCACTAGGCCAAATGCCTGCCCTCAACTTTTTTCCATGAACTTTTTGAATTACTTTTGTACTATATAAAATTAATTAGGATGAATACCAACAAGGATGGTTCTCAAAAAACAATGCTAATAGAGGAAGCAAGTTGTAGAATAACATTTGGAGTACAACACCATTTACATAAATATTTAAAAATATAGTATTTATCTATGGAACTATAAGGACAATAGGCCATAAATTTATCACATTAAAATTATGATGCCAGTTACTTCTTGGCAGAGGGGTACACATATGTGTTATATAATTTTTTGTATTTTTTGCAATTTAAAATGACTCAACGTTAAAAGAAGGGAATGGCTGAGCAAAAAATCTTGGGAGGAGGGAGCAGGTATTAGCGTAATGGATAATATTCTGGTTAAGATACCCATGTCCCATATCAGAGTACCTGAATTTGAGTACTGGCTCGAGCTCTTACTGGACCAGGTGATGACTCAAGTAGTTGAATTCCTACCACCAATGTGGGAGATGGATTGAGTTTCTAGCTCTCAGCTTTAGCCCCTGGGCTGTTGCAAAAATTTGGGGAGCAAACCAGTGGATGGGAGCTCTCTCTTTAGCTCTCCCTCTATCTCTATGCCTGTATCTGTCTTCTTCTCTGTCTCTCAAATGAATTAAAAATTGAAAAAACAAAGTCTTAGGGGAAAAGGTAAATATATTCATGAGCTTTAATGGTGGGCACTTTTTTTTTTTGGGGGGGGGTGTAAGTAAGTAGAGAATTAACTGTACTCCAGATCCTTATGTTGGCTAACTCAGGAAATGATCATGCTAAATTTAATTCAAAGCTCCTGAAAGAGAAGATCAGTGATAGAGTTACATTAAATATACATTCATAGGGCCGGCGCCATGGCTCACTAGGCTAATCCTCCGCCTTGCAGCACCGGCACACTGGGTTCTAGTCCTGGTTGGGGCGCCGGATTCTGTCCCGGTTGCCCCTCTTCCAGGCCAGCTCTCTGCTGTGGCCAGGGAGTGCAGTGGAGGATGGCCCAAGTGCTTGGGCCCTGCACCCCATGGGAGACCAGGAGAAGAACCTGGCTCCTGCCATCAGATCAGCGTGGTACGCCGGCCGCAGCGCGCCGGCTGCGGCGGCCATTGGAGGGTGAACTAACGGCAAAGGAAGACCTTTCTGTCTGTCTCTCTCTCTCTCTCTCACTGTCCACTCTGCCTGTCAAAAAAAGAAAAAGAAAAAAGAAAAAAAGAAAAAAAATACATTCATAATGATAAAATCATCAATAAACTCTCTGTGTACAGAAACTAATTCAATGTATTTCTTTAACAGCGTTTTATCCAACATCTTGCATCTCGAAACTCTTTGTTCACTTTACACAACTTCCTGGATAAAAGTGTTATAGAAGGTAAGATGAGTATGTGCAAGGAGGAAAAAGTCCTAGTTAAGAAAATGCCTTGGCCAGTGCCGCGGCTCACTTGGTTAATCCTCTGCCTGCGGCACCGGCACCCAGGGTTCTAGTCCTGGTTGGGGCTCCGGATTCTGTCCTGGTTGCTCCTCTTCCAGGCCAGCTCTCTGCTGTAGCCCGGGAGGGCAGTGGAGGATGGCCCGAGTGCTTGGGCCCTGCACCTGCATGGGAGACCAGGAGGAAGCACCTGGCTCCTGGCTTCGGATCTTCTTCCAGATCTCCCATGTGGGTGCAAGGACCCAAGCATTTGGGCCATCTTCTGCTGCTTTCCCAGACACACTAGCAGGGATCTAGATCAGAAGTGTAGCATCCAGGACACGAACAGGTGCCCATATGGGATGCAGGCACTGCAGGTGGTGGCTTAAGCCCCTATGCCACAGTGCTGACCCCAATGGTAGGAATTTACAATAGTTTCTGTGAAAATGTGAAAGGAGCTGATAAAGGTTCACTTATTTCCTCTCTTCAGGAGTATCATCATCAACATCCCATCATAGGGTGATATCAAGGCTTTGAAAAAATAAGAAATAATCCTTAATTTGAGAAATATAAGACTAGGTAATTAATAAAGGTCATTCTAACTTTTGGGCTTCAAATATATTGTTGAGGTATTGGAGTGAAGATGCAAAAATAAGTCTTACTATTGAGTTGGAAATAATCAAAACATCTCATTTTTAGGCTATACCATGTCAACTTTCATCAGACGATACAGCAGATATTTGAATGAAAAGTCACTTGCATATAGACTGATCGCATCTGATATCACAAAAACCAAGAGAGGGTCAGTAAATATTATTAATTTATAAGCAAGAAATCCAGAAATATATGTGATCTACTTTGTAGTTTCCCAAAACATAGTTCTATTTCAAGACGCTAATGTCACAGTGCTTCTCAAACTCTTAATTCTTTATGTTCGTGAATTTCTTTTGTCTTTTATAGGACAGATGGTATGATGAGAACTATGAATACTAAAGAGCTGCTAAACATACTTCCAGTTATTCAAACCCAGTTTGATGCACTTCTTAATTTTAATGTAAGAATTATTAATTTTCTGAAACATTAATAAATGGCATAATTTATTGGTGGGAAAATAAATTTTTAAAAACTTGGTGGTAATTGATCACTCTTTTATTTACTTTTTAGGCAAATCCAGATGAACTAACTAATGGTATAATATATGCTGCTTTTATGCTCCTTTTTAAAGATTCTCTTCGTCTCTTTGCAGCCTATAATGAAGGGATACTTAATCTACTAGGTAAGATATAGAATACATTTTACTTTTTAAAAAGAGAAATAGTAAAAAAAGAAACAGGAGAGAGACAACTTATAATATTGGTCGAAAGAATAAATGCAGGTGCAGTGTGTAGCCCTGGTATTCATTTTCATATTATTTTCTAGAAAAAAAGAGAAAGGTAAAGTGACAAGGGCCAAGATGTTGTGGCACAGCAGGTTAAGCCACTCGGTGGGAAGCCAGCGTCCCATATTGGAGTGCCTGGATCAAGTCCTAGCTCCTCTCTTTCTGATTCAGTTCCCTTCTAACGCACCTGGAAAGCATTAAATGAGACTTCAAGTGGTTGAGCCCCTGTCACCCACGTGTGAGACCCGGATTGAGTTCCTGGGTCCTGGCTTTAGCCTGCCACAGTCCTGGCTGTTGAGGCCATTTGGGGGAGTGAGCCAGCAGATGGAAGATCTCTCACTGTCACTCTTGCTCTGCCTTTCAACTAAGGGTTCTCCAGACCCTATTGATGGAAGTTTGAGATACTGTTTATCATACTGGAGAAATACCTAGTACATTTTTAAGGTTCTAAAAGAGTAGGAAACCTAGCACTGTCATTCAAAGAGCTTCAGGGCTTGATGTTAATCAAAACTACACACTAACAGCTGTAGAAATTAAAATCTAAAAATCTGCATATGCTATTCTGTTCCACATATACTCCCAGCACCTTTGTTTAGTATATAGTACTTAGTCCATAAAAAAATGTGTTGATTATAGGGATTAAGCAGTGCTAACACTTGTTGTAAAAACAGAAAATAAGCTGATTAAAACTATAATTGTTTGAACAGGTTAAAATCATATCCAGAATCAATAATAGAGTGAAACTTGAAATTGCAAACATATTGACTCCTTTATGGTAATTATCTTTTTTAAGACAAGTATTTTGACATGAGGAAAAATCAATGCAAGGAAAGTTTGGATATTTACATCAAGTTTCTTGGAAGAACAAGCAAACTGGCAGAGTTTCTGAAAGTTGCAGAGGTATAGAAATCCACTTTGATCCAAAGTTTTTCTGCTGTTTTCTGAATTACTTTAGTAACTTAGGTGTAAATATGTCTCTTTCCCCTGCCATCATCACCACACAAACACTAAGCAATCAGAAGTAGTTTTAACTACTTTGTAAACAGTAAAACTGAAGACTAAAATTAAGTACTTCTAGGAGCTTCTGTTTACAGCCATAAGGATAACTAGTACCATGTTCACACTGATGCTCAGAGAAACACAAGCAAGGTAAATACACAGAACCACACCTAGGAAAGTGATAGTGAAACTTTTGTAAACCAGAGAGAACAATGGCGTATTACCCACAGAACAGATTGAATTGTGGCTGACTTCTGATAACTTGAAAAATTAGAACACATTTGTATGGTATTCAAAATGCAATTTAGCGCTTTCCAAAACAGCAAGCCTGAAAGACTGTTTTAATACCTGGAAAGCCTTCTCTTTTAGATTCTAGCCCTAAGATAAATAGACATTTGTGTTTAAGTGTACAAGGCTTATTTTTACTCAGTGTTTTTCTTAATCTAGATAGATACCAGCCCAGGAAAGTGTTGTGCTCCTCAGATGTTTCCTCTTTTGTATACACAATGGTCTCTCAATAGACATTTTTTGTTATTCCCACTCCCTGCTATAATGTGCATTTCCTCCTTTCTTTTGTGAATACAGCAAGTTGGAATTGACCAGAGTGACATTCCATATCTTACTCAGGTCAGTGTATCTCTTCTATGTATTTAAAGGGCTTTGTCTTTATGTTTATGTGTTTATTATGTGTGTGTGTATATGCATGATGTACATTCCATGATGTCTCATAGAATAAGAGCTAGATCATCTTTTTACATGGACTGATATGATCTGATTGGTGGAAACAGTGCAATATTTGCAATAATGCATTTACGTTTGAGGGCTCTTTTGTCTACCTTCCAGGTATATAGTCTCAAGCAACTCATTTCCACTATCTGTTCCTTATTTCTGCAAATGAAAAATGTGTGTAATGCTATTGCTTAACTCATAGCAGGGTGGTAGAAATCAAATTAGCTTGGGAGTTTTTCTCTCCTAGCAACTGATCATCAGGGATCCACCACAAGGCCATGACAGGTGTAGATGAGATGAGCCCCTGACAATCTGCTTGTGCAGTCTACTGTGCCCTCTGAACTTGTCTGTGTTATGTCCCAGATAGCCCATGGGGCCTGACCATCAGGGCCTACTAGGTAATATGTTTCCTTTAGTTAGTGGGATATACAATATATAATACTTTGATTTTCTGTTTCGGATGGAGTGTCCTTGTGTGCCTGTGACCACTGGAACCTTAAAAACTTTACCAGTGTGAAAGGAGTGTGGACTGCATGTGTCTTTCTAAGATCTCTGCTATACTGCTCACTTCCTGCTCATCTGATCCTGTTAGTATGACATATCATGGATACAGTGCATCAATTTGATGTTGGTTTAGATCACATGGTTTAGTCTTCTTCTGCTTGTATTACAACAGAAGGTGAGAGAGTAAACACAGCCCTGGATCAAAACTGTTGTCTCTTTCATGTGCTTGTGAACTCTTCCTGCCTCACCTCTGATAGGGATGGAAAGCAGCACATTTACCAAATAAATAGCCAGATACCAAGTACCTTGATGTAGTTTATCACTCTTCAGGGTCCAAGTAGTTTTTATGGGAATGGGGACTGTCACCTCTGCAACCTCTATATTTTTAAGATTAATATTAATTTTTGCCATCCTTCTGAGAGGTTATCTTGTTTTTTATTTAGTATTTTTGCTTGGAGGATGAGTGGGGGCTATTTAAGAGGCAGGTTCCCAGCTGAGCTTTGATGAATGTGGAGGCAGATTTACTTGTGGAGTAGAAGCTTCTGTGTAATCTCCAGAAAAGGAGGATCAGAGGTTTCTGGGAAATATAGACTTGGGACTTTTGCAGCTGTCCCCATCCCATGTAGCAAGGCCTGGTGTGGCAGAGCTGCCTTGGTTGGGACTATCTGAGATAACACATGTGGGGCACTGAGACGGTACCTGGTTTGGGTGGCATGATGTATATGGGAAGAAGCCTGTTCTCTCAAGGATACACAATACGAATATTCCTTCATGTACTGATAAGTATAAAGGCTATTTATACATAGACATCAAACCCCACAGAATGGTTCACTAATGGCACAGACTCCTAAATGTGAAGCAAATGACTCCTGAGTGTGGAGACAGAGAGACAAGGAGAATGTGTGGGATAGAAGATGAAGTTTCATTGCCCACTGGCACCATAGCCAGTGGATTTCAGTCAACACTCCTTCACAAGCATAAGCTTAACCTCTATTTAGGTATAATGAATGAATGAGACACAATCTTAGTCCCTGTGTTCCTGAAAAATACAGAACAAGAATACAGAAGCATGTCTAGATACTTATCAGAATGTAGTCCTCTGATTTTTCTCTACATTGACTTTGCTTCCTGAGGGAAATGATGAGAGTAGGAAGGGGACCTTTGCTGAGAACCACAGCCTCAGATATTGTCAGGGTACAGATGACCATTAACTGACCAACACCTGTGCCCTAAGCTCTAAGGGGACATCTGCCAGGAGGAGAACCTGAGTAGATGGCCAGATTTCCTGTTGGACCACTTTCTCCTCCTTACCTCATTTCTGATCCTCAGAAACAAAGTAAATGGCTGTGGTGGACTCTGCAAAAGACAGGCAAGGGTTTTTGGTTAAACCTTCAAGATCCCCATTCATTCCCTGTAAATCAGCTCTCTTTCCTGGAAGAGCTTTCTTATCAGTACTCTGGCCCCTGTCCTCAAGTCAGGACAGAAAATCACGGCCTTCAGTCAGCAGAACTGATCCCATGGCTTCTCATGTGTCCTGGAAACCCTACAAAAGCGTGGGATGCAGGGCTACACCACAGAAGAGGGAGGTGAGCATCAAGTCAGCTCCATCTTTGCTGCACACAGCTGGCCTCCTTGAGAGACGCCTGCTCAAACAGTGCACAGTTTCAAGGAGTTTTTTCAGTCCATCTGCTGCCAGGACTCAAAAGGGGTGTCCAGATCTTCCTGTGTGACTATGGGTTGGCCATTTCCTACTTGTGCTTCCAACACTTTGCACTTCATGTGAATTGATGCTGAACTCTTAGTTTTAAACAACTCACCATTTTGATATCACTTCTGGATTTTACCAATCTTATTTAAAATAAATTTTATTTTTTAATTCACAGACAATATTGTATTTTTCTATTGTGTATAACATAAATTTTGAAAAAATATGCATAGTGTAATGGTTAAGTCTATTTAATTAGTAAATATACCACTTCACATAGTAGGGAGAGAACAGAACATCTACTCTTTATATTCTGTGAGAGTACAATATATTATCATTGATTATAGTCACCTTGGTGTACAACAGATTTCTAAATGTATTCCTCTTATATGACTGTAATATATGTAATATATGCTTTGGCCAATCCATCCTCACCCCCATGCCCTATTCTGCCAACTCTGAATTTCTGTGTTTGAGTTATTTAACAAATCCTCCAGATTAATTCTTCTTGTTGCACATGGCAGGATTTCCTTCTCTTTCATGGCTGAATAGTATTTCATTTCCCACCTCCCCACAGTGTGTGTGTGTGTGTATGTTTGTATCACATTTTTATATAAGTTTTCATTCAATGAATGCATTTTTTCATAGATACAACTTTAGGAATATAGTGGTTCTTTCCCTCCTACCCACCCTCCCACCCTGTTGTATCACATTTTAAGAAGACATACAAATGACCAACAGATATATGAAAAAAGAGTTTAGCATCACTAATTATCTGAGGAATGCAAATAAAAATCATAGTGAGATATTACCTTGCCCCAGTTAGAATGGCTATTATTAAGATGAATGGTAATAACAGGTAGCAAAGATGTGGAAAAAAGTGGACTTGTGCACTGTTGTGGAGAATGTGAATTAGTGTAACCATGATGGAAAACAGTATAGAGGTTCCTCAAAAAACTAAAGAAGTAGATCTACCATATGCCCTAGCTCTCTTACTTCTGAGTGTATATCCAAGGGGAATGAAATCACTGTGTTGAAGAGATGTCTGCACTCCCCTCAACTGATGTTTCCTCCTCCACATCCCACTTCTTCACTAGGCTTAATGCTTTACTTAAGTTAATCTAGTGATCTAGTGACTAATGAAAGAACCATATATAATAAATGATTTCAAAGTCAATATCTTCTCCCCAGGGGATATTTTAGCAGTCTTTTGATCATTTTAAAAATCATAATTTTAAACTCTGATTTGATACCAAGATGATGATTTTAGTAATGAATTTGCATATAGCAATTTTAACTTGAATGCATTTGCTATAAAGTTATGTTAGCTTCTTTTGAAAATATTTTTAAAACACAGAAGAGTACGAATTTTTCTTAAAACTATAAAAATTAAGTCTTAGCAATTTTTTCTAGGCACCTCAGAGTTTACTTGAAGCACTAAAACAGCATTTAGCTTCTTTGGAAGACAAAAATGACATTTTACCTTCTTATACGTAAGTTAATAAATGTCTTAATATAGGTTAATTTTTTCCCTCTAAATAATTTCTCTCATCCTAAATGTTTAACAGTATAAGATTGAGCAAATTTTAGGCTATGACTGATAGAATACCATTTAGCTATTTTAAATGATAACAGAGTTTTTCACTCTTTTGTAGGATTCCAAACTCTTCACAAAGATGATATACTTCCCAAAGGAATAAAACAGTGGGCATTTACATTGGATATATATGTAAGGGTACATGTGTATACACACACACACATCTATATATACATATGTATACTTACATACATATACATGTATCCCATGCATATACATTGGCAAAATTTGATGTACATCACCTGAAAATGTTCACATTAGCTATTTCCAAGTGAAACAATTGTGATCAGTGTTCTCTTTTGCACTTTATTATCCAAAATTTCTACAAAAGTCATATAGTCATTCTACTTTTGAAGGTTATATTGATTGTAATAAATTATCACCCTCTCTTAGATAACAAACCTGTTGACTATTTCTTTTTTCCCAAAGAAATATTTTATTTAAGGAATACAAACTTCATGCATTTCATAAACACAACTTAAGGAACATAGTGGTTCTTCCCACCATACCCGCCCTCCCACCCACACTCCCATCCCTCTTCCTCCTCCCTCTCCTATTTCCATTCTTATTTTTTACTAAGATCTATTTTCAATTAACTCTATATACATAAGATTAGCTCTATACTAAGAGTTCAACAAATTGTATGAAGAAAAAAAACTGTTCCTCAACAGTCAAGACAAGGGCTGTTCAAAGTCATTGCATCTTGAAGTTGATTTCACTTCTTTTTTTTTTTAAGCATCCTTTTTTTTTGGAGAAACTTTAGTTAACTTTAAAGAAGAACCCAAGAATGATGCAGCTTTTGTGCTTAGACATAACTATAACTTATGCAACATAAGAATGTCCTCCACTTAATACGCTAAAATGAAGTCAGTCTTTGAGAACAAGTTTTACTATTAACTCTCATAATACAACTCTTTGAGGATGGAGGTCCTGCATGGGGAACAAGTGCACAGTGACTCCTGTTGTTAATTTAACAATTAACACTCTTATGTATGACGTCAGTGATCACCTGAGGCTCTTGACATGAGCTGCCTAGGCAGTAGAAGCCTTTTGAGTCCACAAACTCCCTCTGTATTTAGACAGGGCCATAAGTAAAGTGGAAGTTCTCTCCTGCCGGCAGAGAAAAGTACATCCTTCTTTGATGACCACTTCTTTCCACTGGGGTCTCACCCACAGAGTTCCTTCATGTAGGATACTTTTTGCCACAGTGTCTTGGCTTTCCATGCCTGAAATGCTCTCATGGGCTTTTTGGCCAGACCAGAATGTCTAAAGGGCTGATTCTGAGGTCAGAGTGCTACTTAAAGCTATTGTTATTCTGAGTCTGCTGTATGGACTGCTTCCCATGTTGGAGCATTTGTTCCTTTTAAATTCTATTAGTATTATTATATTATTATTACCAAACACTTAATTCTATTTGTATGATAACTTTAACACTTAATCCTAACCATGTGATCACTTTAACACTTAAGATGGTATTTTTACCACCCAGCTTAAGGGGACTTGGGGTCCCATGGCAAGTTTTTGAACTGTACCATTAGAAGTAAGTCCACAGGAATGTGTGCAGAACTATACAGCTTTACAGTTACAAACTTCATACATTTCATAATTACAACTTTAGGAACATGGTGATTCTTCCCACAATGCCTACCCTCCCAGCCATACTCCCATCCCTTTTCCTCCTCCCTCTCTTGTTCCCACACTTATTTTTTACTAAGATCTATTTTCAATTAACCTTATGACATATGATTAACTCTATGTTAAGTAAAGAGTTTAACCATTAGTATGAAAAAAATTTGTTCCTCAACAGTCGAGACAAGGGCTGTTCAAAGTCATTGCTTCTCCAAGTGTCAATTTCACTTCTACAGATTGTCTTTTAGGTGCTCTATTAGTTATCACAGGTCAGGGAGAACATATGGTATTTGTCCCTTTGGTACTGGCTTACTTCACTAAGCATGATGTTTTCCAGTTTCATCCATTTTGTTGCAAACAACAGGATTTCATTTTTTTACTGCTGTGTAGTATTCCATGGTGCATATATCCCATAATTTATTTATGCAGTCTTCAGTTGATGTGCATTCAGGTTGATTCCATATCTTAGCTATTGTGAGTTGAGCTGCAATAAACACGGGAGTACAGATAACTCTTTCATATGCTGTTCTCATTTCCCTTGGGTAGATTGGGATGACTGGGTCATATGATAAGTCTATATTCAGATTGACTATTTATTAATTATCTCTTTATTACAGATAGATATATAGTTAGTACATGAAGGACCATCAAAATTTTATGAGAAAGAAATATTATGAAAAAACTACACATGGATTTCAAATCTTTTGTATTGAAATAAGCTTATCTTATTCTATTTTCCATGAACTTATTGAAGTACCCTGTGGAGTGGGATACATAGATGGACAGATGAAGGAATCAATGAAATATAGGATCATCTGGATAGGATTTTTGTAATTCTATTTATTCTCCAGTGTGCCTATTCTTTCTTGTGATCTCTTAAGTCTCCAGCATGCACTGATTCCATCCATCCCAAATAGTCCAGTTGTGAATGCTTCAGGAAGCAGGGCTTGGTTTGCAGGTAATATATCTTTTTACAGCTATATTAGTAATCATTGAAGATGTGATTAGAATCTTGAATTCTTCTGCTGCTCAGCCACCTATTATATCTGCTGCCTCTTCATAAGCAGTTTTTGACACAGAAATTTCATTTCTAGGAATTTATTCAACATATGTACTCACAGTTGTGAAAAGTGTGAACAGGATATCCAATGAAACATTGTAATAGTTAAATGACTGAATAAGAAGCTTTCTTTCATGTACTTAAATGGAACTATTTTCATGTACTTAAATGGAACCATCTCTAAGATGTATTGTTAGATGACAATGAGCAAAGTATAAAGCAAAATATAGTCTGCTACCATCTTTGTTTTTAAAAACGGAATATATATATATTTATAATTTCTTAAAGAATACTTTTGGAGGGTTATATAAGAAATGAGTTAAAATATGCTGCTGCTAAGAAGAATGTGGCTGTTTGTGGAAAGAAATGGATTGGGAGTCTTCACTGTGCACTATTTTGTAACTTTAAAATCTTGCACCATGAAAACAATTACCTATTAATATATACATTTTACAAAGAAATACATATATGCATACATTTAGTGTGATACCTTGTAATTTTTAAGACAGAAGTACTTTGTGATCCCTTAAGTTTAGATTGCCTCATACTTCAGTGATGTGCTGGAGGCAGCTCACATGAGTTTGCGGGAGCCAGTTTTTATTTATTTATTTTTTAAAGATTTATTTTATTTATTTGAAAGAGTTACAGAGAGAGGTAGAGACAGAGAGAGAGAAGTCTTCCATCTGCTGGTTCACTCCCCAGATGGCCTCAATGGCCAGAGCTGTGCCGATCCGAAGCCAGGAGCCAGGAGCTTCTTCCAGGTCTCCCACGTGGGTGCAGGGGCCCAAGGACTTGGGCCATCTTCTACTGCTATCCCAGATCATAGCAGAGAGCTGGATTAGAAGAGGAGCAGCTGGGACTAGAACCGGTGCCCATATGGGATGCGGGCGCCGCAGGCCAAGGCTTTAATCTTCTACTCCACAGCGCCAGCCCCAGCCAGTTTTTAAATTTTTAGGAATTTTGGTAGCTAGTTGATGTCACATTGGGAACTCAATGGCCAAGATGGTAGTTTTTACTTCACAGAAATTGGCAAAGATTAACAAGCAAGCCTTGAAATAAAGGTTGGTTATTATATATTTACTGGGACATGGATGCTCATAGGCCACCATATTTTGTTTTTTAATCAGTTATTGTGTTTCAGTGATATTGCTTCATTTCCTACTCTGGACACAAATCTATGTAGTAAACACCTATGTTGTTAAAGGGTTTATATATATTTGAATTAAATTTTGTTCTTAATTTAACTTAAAAAAATAAACTATTTTAAATGTTGTTTTTCTTTTTCTTTTGTACATATATTTTCAATGGATACAACTTCTGCATTTTTAATGGGTGAGTTTGACCAAAACTGTGATGAAAACAAGTCCTTTGTGTAAGACCATAAGGATAGCAAAAAACTATGCATTTGACTCATTTTCAAAAGAATGAATACTGCTACTTTTCTGAGTGTTATCATTTGGGAGTCATTAGTGCTTCTAATAGGTGTTACAAGACAGTTATACATGGTAGTTAAGAGAAAAAGCTGTATATTCACTCTGATGTAAATGTGAATTCCAAGTATGGTATAGGGCTATGGACCTGATTACAAACCAAGACTGACTATTGATTGCCACATGTACCCCCTTCGTTGCTTCAACCATTCTGTTGACAATCTTTTGCCCAGTTGATGTCACTATGATTCTTGATTCTAAAATGTTGGCCTTAGAACCAGAGTGCTTGGGTTCAAATTTTACTGTACTCTCTGAAGAATGTGTGTCTTGGGATAGCTCACTTAACCTCTCTATGCCTGAATTCCCTTATCCTTATAAGGTATTCAGGATTAAATAAGTTTATATATGTAGAGTGCTTCAAATAGGGCCTGGCTTAAGACTCTGCATTTTCTACTTTTCTCATTCTTCTTAAACTTTCAAGCTGCCCTCTTCAACTTATACCATGGTAAACTAAATGCTCTATCTCTCTATCTCCTTGGTGGTTTCATTGAATGGTTTTTCTCTATCCCTACTGGACTTCTCCACTTGGATGTTCTGCAGTCATCTCAAACTCAATTTATCCAAAATGAAATTGCTCACATACTAGCTGCTAGACCTTGCTCTTTTGCTTGTGGCTTTGGCTTAAAAACTGGTACCACCATCCATCTCAGTTGCTACCTGGGAGTTATTTTTTGACATTTCCTTTCCCTTTATCACCAAATCCCATTTATTCTGCCA